GTCAATGTGAAACTGATCTGTTACGACCTGTCCCTGCCAGTCATCTCCTATCATACCGTCCTGCCAGCCCGCACCCTGACAACACCTCTACACCTCTCTGAATTAACTTCTTGGACTGCTTATCTGGGTTCCTCTGTATACGGGGTCGAGTATGAAACTGAACTGCGAGTGCTAAATCGACCCGTATGCCCCAGAGCATACAGCCTTGAGCGTTCCCCTCTTTGATATATATATCCACTAATAACGTATTTTACCCGTAGATACAACACTATACGGGGTAGTAAATGCGATACATAATAGACGTATGCTAAAATAATGCCGCGACGACTAACGTCCTTTGATTGTCGTTTAAAAGGCTGCCCGTCTCTGGATAAGCACTCTTAGCATAGATCAACTTCGAATCGATCGAAAGCGTGCATGGTTAGAGGTATCGAAAATAGGACTTTAGAAACCTCGAAATTTATCTGCAATGAAAATTCAACTGTAATTCATCGCATTCACTATATGTATCGGGCTGCGAAACTCGCATGTGAAATACGTTACCTAGTATTACAATATATGTTGAACTGACGATATCGAGGGCCACATCGTAGATTACTGCGCTATTGCATTGTACAAGGAGAGTTTTACCTCCTGGTCCATCAAAGGTACATTCATACACCTATGCTAGTTGTAATGTGTCTTCACCAGACAAATACGCAATCCCTTTTCCACCGCGGTTTTGCAAAATTGGCACTTCACGCTGTTGAAAATTAAAGTGATGTGATATTTTGTTTCTTTGTCTAAGTTAATCACATACGACCACAGGGTGTGGAAAACAGGGCTTCCCGTCCGCTCAGCCGTACTTAAGCCACACGCCGGTGAGTTAGTAGTTGGGTGGGTGACCACCAGCGAATCCTCACTGTTGTATGTTTTTGGCTTTTTCCGGTGAAATTTCTACACCGGAATATCTTGCACGCCTCTAAGCCACTGAACTGTCCTTCTTCTTCCGTACTGGATTTTTTTATCATAGGCGCATTGTTGCGAGCATAACTCTCTTTAATTTCTACCGGCTGACATATGTCCTCTTTGCTGGTCACCCACCTTACTACTATTCGCCGGCGAGGGACCTATATGCGGCCTGTAGTCGGGTAGGTGTTGCCTAGGTGAGGAGGGGGAGAATCACCCAAGTCGCGCGACCATCGCGCCGACCTCAGCTGAATGACAACAGAAATTAATCGGGTTATGCCCATCCCCCGGAAACGCTCGGCATCTTGGCATATGTACACAGCCATCAAATACAACATTAAGAACAACCAGCACCGTTCTTAGGTTTTTCAGGTCAAGCGGCGACAAGAGGCTATTGTGGTATGTTCAAGCCGGCCGCGGCCTTCGGTAGCCATGACGCGTAACGCCTGCAGTAGAATGAGATATGTTAAGAGAGGCGTCAAACGGGCCTGTTTCTGAATTAACCTCCGAAGACGGATATGTAAGTGGCAGCTATCTCGCTCTCACAGAGACAGGCCGCTAGCACGGCGTCACAAGAAAAAAGGTAACGCGAAAATTGTCTTGCGAGAGGCCTCAACGCCAGCAGATTGAAATCCCCGTGCCATTGACTTCTAGCCACCCAGCCCTGTGATTCAGTCGTGGCGTTCAGTATGACAACATCGGCTTCTAAGGAGTGTTCAGAGAGATAGACTAGGATATTCTTCAGCATAATAGTCTGTGTAAACTCCTGGTCGACTGGTATTTCAGCCAGGGGGATCTCGACCCATCAGAACGACAACCAACCCTTGGGCCTATCAGATTGGCGTACGTCTTCGTGTGATCAAATTTCGGCCTGAACGAGTCATCTATTCGTGTCTGTCCTATCACTGGGTCAAATCATCGGGCAAGTTGCAAAAAGAATGTCGTCTTGGATGCTTTGTGTGTTGAACGATGATGGCAGTGGTGCCCACTGTTTCTAGAGGCTAAGTGACAGCGTTCGAGCTTCTGGGCGTTGTTTCGTTTGTACCCTTTGAAGAGAGCCGAAACGATACCGCGGATAACTAGCATGCGTATTTTCGAGATAGCGAACAGGGCAAAGGGCTAGTCTAGTCACAATCTTGAAATCCACAAGAGCGTCAGTCAAGCTACGAAAGACACTCTACTAATTTTGTCCTAACACACCAAGATGCCAGTCCTCGAAACCCGACCTTCTATCCGCATGAATAAGTGTGATTGATTACCTGGGCATATTCTGGCGTTAATCCTCCCGTCTTTGAAAGCGTGGCATTATCAACCCAATCACGATTCACTGATTTCAATAAAGCGGTGCTATCCCTTATCCCACATTCTCCTGAAAAGAAAATGCAAGTTGACTGTATTGGAAATGGATTGACTACTGCAGCGTTGACTTGATGAAGCTTGGAGTGACTGATGCATACATTCATTTCAGCTGAAGGAAGTTCAATTAGATCAAAATTGCGCTTTGGACCTTGTAATAATAGCTTATTGGCCATCGTTCAATCGATAACTAAGGAATACAGAGCCTCCCGATTTCTGTGACAGGGGATCCACATCGGAGGGAGGTAGATCGGGGGTTTGAATCTCTTAGTGTGTTATGTACGCTATAGCATTACTAGTTTAGCATCTATCTTGCCTCCATACCCCCTATACAATACAAGAAATACACCGCGCCTTTATGATCTTATCTACTAGATCGTAGATCTTATTGTATCTCTAGGGCGAAGAATCCTCGAATGTATCCTAGAGCCGGATGTAAATCTCTGGGCAAATACGCGAATGAGGCAACTACTTAGTTCTAACTGCCCACGGTCTCAGGTTATTAAACCAGCCTTAGAGCACAATAACCTGTGGGGTGTTTACATATCCGAGATGCCTAGCACAAACTCTAGACGCACGGGCTCCTATCTTTTGCGTGTTATTTCACCACGGCTGGTAATAAGATATAGCAGTTCCGAATCTCGTTGTAAGCGTGTTCCAAGAGCACTGGAAATCAAATGAAAAGTTTTTGAAGTAATGGAGAGACCCATAAAATTTTGCATTTCAAAAAATTGCTACCTTTTTTTTGCTCATCTGAGTTCAATCCATCTACGGAGGTGTACCATCTCAGCATCATCTTTGATCAATCGACTGCCCAAGAAAGGTTCGAGCTCCAACAGAGTGTTTTATGCAACGGGAGTAATCAATTTTAATATACAAAAATAAGCTATGTCTTATAGTTCTGGTAGTCTCAGACTGAAGAATAAACAAATAGCTAGAGATGGGGCAAAACAAAAACATACAACAGTGAGGATTCGCTGGTGGTCACCCACCCAACTACTAACTCACCGGCGTGTGGCTTAAGTACGGCTGAGCGGACGGGAAGCCCTGTTTTCCACACCCTGTGGTCGTATGTACTATATAGGTTGACCAAAGAGAAATAGATTTTACCTGCAGCAGGGAAAGAGGCTACCTCTACACTGTTAGACCGGTGACAGAATATTTGTATTTCTATACATCTCAGTTAGCGGGCGAGGGTCTTGTCGGTTTTCCCTACCTTCTTGGTCTCTACAGCCAAATCTCAATTTTTTTTTACCTTGCTAGCCATTTGGACCACCGTAAATAGCTGTGGGTCACGCATAAATTGGAAGCTACAGAAATACACTAGGAGACCTAACAGCTTTGGCGAGATTGAAAAGCGATAATCTAAACTATAGGAACGAAGGCCAAATTTACATTCGAAAATATGCCTGGTACAGTGACTCCGCAAAAGTTTTAACACCCCTGGCCCCACACCCCCTATATTATGTAATTTTCTGCGGGAATAAAACTCCATGCATTCAAACTATCTATCTAGTACGGCGTATACCACCCCTGGCTCTCAACAATAGCCTCCACCCGATTCGGCATGGTCTCAGAGAGATGCTTTAGATGATCTAGATCTAATTGATCCCATGCAAGCTGCGCTGTAGCTACCAAAATAGCCTTAGTTTCGTCATTGTTCCTCATA